TTCGTCCAATCAACATAGCGAACACGTCGTGAAAAGGAGACCTCGACTCCTCACCGATCTATAGTGTCAATCGATTCGATCTATGTGATATCGCGAGCTCGAGGCAAGGGTAGACCCTAGTTATACATCAACCTTGTCAAGGTCTACCTAACTCGTATCGATAAAAAGACTCATATCACATTGCGATAAGAATATCACTTTATTATACTCTCCCAAACTGCATCAAGTAACTCGCTGATCTCTCGATAGAAGGTTTTGACGCATGGTCGACCTCGGAGACTCGGACACTACGGTATTGATCAAAGTAGGCATCGGTGAATACTATTCGCTGGATCGGATCATGGACTCGAATCACATGTGCCACCGGATCCCGATCCGAGGCCATCGTGAGGTCGTTTAACTTAGCCCGAGTGTGCGACAATGGCGACTCGCCGTCGACGTGTCCTTGGGACGCCGGGAAAATGAAAAAGAATCGACATCTATAATATAAATACTTACCATTAACCATATGTCTAAGCATGGCCTACATAATATAAATCATACAATAACCACTCATATTTACACACGGTAAACACTCATATTTATTAAATACCAAGAAGACTTTTCTTATTGAGTAACGCACCGATCCTCGAGCTCATATGACACTTAGGTTTCTAACCGAATAACTAAACCAAAACTCTAATACCATCTCCGTGGTACCCCAGCTCCCTTGTTGATTACCTAAAAGGTATGACTAGGTGCGTCACGGCTTAGAGACCAAAGTCTCAAATTTACTCCCATACACATTCATAATGTACTAAATATCATTACAAAGTTATAAAATAATGTAGGTATTATTACGGGTAAAAGTGAATCCTATAGTTCACGTGTCACACATGAGCTTTTTCTAGAGGAACCGACGACTTCATTATCGGCATTATTATTGCCTTTACTTGTCACAGGATGAAATAAATACGGGGTGAGTCAAAGCTCGGTAAGTAGGGTGATGTATGTGATATGCAATGATTTTCCGACTCTCTCACTTTGACTCATTAAATTTTAATTTCGGGTACCACTAGGTATTAGCAAGTCTACTCTATTGATGATTTTAAAATGACCTAATACTAACAACGGAATTATCCCTCATTGTAGCCACTCGTTAACGGGAATCCATCACCAAAGTTCGATCACACAGATTAGAGCACGCACACGAATTTGGATTGCTAATACTCGTTTAATCTAGTAGGTTATCAAACCTATCCAATTCTATCCAATTTGGTTACCAAACCCCATCGTTTCTAAATCTATAGTTTTTCTCAATTTAATCCATTCCTATATGCATATGATCCACATGATGTTGTAATTATTACATTTAACAAATCATGGGAACCAACCCTTATTATTAAATCATTCTCGTGACCTAATCCGCATTTGGGATTTCATATTTTTTTCACATATCTTTCATGATATACCTCAAGAAAATACCACATCCACCAATTGGTATGAATCAATTCATAAGTTTACTTCGTATGTTCGTGTCTTTCCCCTTGTGCACGTAGTAAGTCTAACTTCGAATTTCAATGTACTACTTAGTCTACATAACCTTCAATTCTAAGGATTCACTGTGATATACTAAAGATGAAATTTCTTTTTAATCCAAACTTTAACCTTAGTAATCGAATTTCAGCCTTTCTTGGATCTAGGTCTTAATCATAATTTTTCTTGAATTCTCACCTTCTAATACTTCATTTTATCCTATTAGGGTGCAAATAAACCATTACTCGGGAATTTGGGTGGTTGGAACTCAATTTCTAAAATTTGGATTTAGGTCAAGTGTTTCCTAATCTAAATCAAAAGTTTCATTTTTCTTGAAAGCTAACTTTTCTATACTTTAATTTAAACTTATTTAGGTACATTTGAACCATTAATTCTCAAGTTGGATGAATGAAACTCAAATCCCTAACTTTTTGGGTTTAGGCCGAATGGGTCCATCAAGGGGTAAAGGATTTTCTTTTATTTCTATGTAATTTCTTCTCAACCTAACTCACTAAGTTATACTTCAATGGGTTCCCATGGAGTTCTAGATCTTTAGATCTATTAAAATAAATCCAAACTTGGCCTTTTTAGTACCTAGGCTGAATGGGTCCATTAAGATGTCCAAGCCCATTTTGGTTTGACTAAACCCATCCATGCACGAGTTCCAAGCCCATGTTATTGTAACCAAACCCTCCACACACATTGATAGATACATAACACACATATCACATAGATCCCTACACATATCAACCTTCCATCATCACATCACAACAACCATATTAGATCCATTATAAAACATCAAAACATAACATCAACACAAGCAACCATAACAACATATTACATGACTTGAAACATAACTCATAAATGAAACAGTTAAAATAGAAATTAAAGCATAAATGAAGCTAAAATGAAACCTACTTACAATAATATATGCTTGCTTAAGATTTTCTAAACTTTTCCTTCTCTTTCTCCATTCTTTCTTTCCTTCCTTTTTCTTTCTTTCTTTTCTCTCTTTCTTTTCCTCACAATGTTGTTTCTCTCCTCTCTTGGAAACTATGGTTTTTGTCAAGAAAATGGCAAGGTTTTAAGCTTTCTTCCATTTTTATATCACATCTTTTTCCCTTCATTTATTAGTCTTCCAAGTGTCAAAATTTTATGGTAAACTAAGGTCAAATGATGGGACTAAATGGGAGGCAAGTTGATAATTTAAAAATTCAAGGGGGCTAGGTGTCACACTTTTAGAAAAAGTGATAGATTTGATGTCAAATCAACAACTAAATGTGGGAACTAAAAAGGTAACTAAACTAACTAAACTAACCAACTTTCTTACCCCATTTGGTTCCTAAATTTCGACCATGCACCTTGTTTGAGAACATGTTTTTCACTTGCATGTCTTTTAAATATATGTTATGAAAAAAATAAATAATGACTAACTAAAATTCTCAAAAAGTAATTCCAATAAACACTTCCATAAATCTTAGATATTCTAACACCACAAAATATAAAAGAAATGGCACGAAATTACACTCACATAACTATGAATATTCTAGGAGATATTTTTTTCGAGAATCCACGTTTATGGCATGCCAAAATAAAATAATTTTTTTTTCAATCGCATATCTCCTCACCAAACATGCACATGACACATAAATCATAATTTAAACTCGGTAGATATAGATAGAATTATTTCGGTACGTATAGCTAGGTTAAGCGATTTCACGGGCGTTACATACACCTTCATTCAAGTAGTGTTCATAGGAGTAGAGTGGAGTTTAGAAAAGACCTAGGCAAAGTACTAGCTAGTTCCTTGATATTTTTCTTTGGACTAAAGTGATTTTGTTGGATGCTCAAACTAGCTAACTATGCCATTACACCATAGTTTGGTGTCTCTTAATTTTCAACCATGAAAAAGCTTGGAGATTGAAAGATGAGTTAGAAACTAGCTTTTAGCTCAAGTTTTTCTCTCACGAATAGGGCCATTGATAAGGTTGTGAACATTTGAAGATGAGGTGGTTTTGTCATGACTAGTACGATTACGGAGCTTGATAGTGTATGGAGACCAAGTTAGCTAGAATATCTAGAAAGAAAAAAATTCTTCTAGTAGATTAGAAAAACATTTGATGATTAAGTCAATATACAAAGGAGAATGGTGGTTTAAAAAGACAGGTGATGCGAGTAGTGTTAGCATGAAGAAGATAATGAATTGTGGTAACAAGAAGAGATACTCAGAATCCTTCACTTAAGATCTTTTGATTATCTATATGGTCAATAGCATCATCAAATTGCATAAAGGAGGGGTAGGATAATCTTTTTTTTATTGTCAATAGCCTCTCACTTCCACTTTGAAGAAAAATGTTCTTAATGTTGATAGATGGTAGTTTAAAGAGGATGACGTCTTTATGATTAGTGTTGGTTAGACAAAACTAACTTTGAGAGTATGCTCTCATTTAATAAAATGTATTATCTGTCTTTTCCAGATGGTGCGGCTGGATTTGATCATCCGAGCTAGAGCCATTTAGGACGCTCCTAGGGGTGACTTAGTAGAGTTTGCTTGCCCGCCTTTATCGGGGATGTAGTCCCATCTTCTTAGGCCATTATCCGGGTTGATTGATTAATTTATTAGGGATTATGTGATGATACTTGTCATTTGGATATGTTAACTGTTAACAGACTCAAACATGCGATGATACTTGTCATCTGAATATATCACCGTTGACAGACTCGGACAATAATTTTGCTACAGAAATATTAACAACCCACACCTTCATGTTGCATGATGGATGCACGGCGCATCATAGAATACTTCGGCGTCATAAATCACTAGTTCTAGGACATGAATTGGATAAAAGTTAGGCAATAATAATCTTTTAGGGAACTTAGAAATCCCTAAGATCACTGGGAGCGGGGACAGACTGCCAGCCTCGCAAATTAGTTTTCATCAATCGAAAGAACTGACAAGTTCCCAATACATGTTCAGATCACACGAGAGAGAGACTGCACGGGACTCCAATTTGTTCCTCTTTCACTGATCAGAAGAATCTATAGTGGGTTAACACAGAATTAGCTTACAGCTGTGACAGAGAGCATGCCCATCTTGATAATAGAGCACCAATCCAACTGAGCTAGCAATAAGCAACAATAAACCTAGTTGGCAACTATGCAACTCATCCTGGAAGTTTATATAACCAGAGGAAAAGTAGATATGAAGCATGGATGCTTTCATAAAGAGTAATAACAAAGGAGAATCACAAAACCATGAATTTTTCACATGCCAAAAGGATTAAAGTTGATCCAATTATCCACAACAGCTGAATTCACGTCCTTGACAGGATTGAAACTGATGAAATTTAAAACAGCAACAAAAACTATAGCAAATGACATGTTATGACTTGCATAAAAGACTAATTAATTAACCTCTAGCTTTTCAACCTTAGATTTACTCACATTATCCATCATGTTTTAACTACTGCTACGGCACAGAGTGCTCAGGAATCTTCAGGTGGCTGCTGTGTTTGATGTGGCCAAACCTGTTGTGCCACATAAGGGCGAGACTGTTGGCCATAAAGAGCTTGATCCGCCACAGGCTTTCCTACAGTCATCCCTGGAGCAGAGACCTGGGAGGCAAGCTGAGGTTGCATGTAATAGTAAGGAAGAGTATCAGGTGGACCTCCAACTGGAAGACTCCCTCTTGGGACCGATGCTAACACCTCATCTTTCAAATCCTCCCTAGGGACAATATCAACCAGAAAATCGAAAATATCAGTTCTTGTAATTGCTGCAGCAATATCATTCTTTTGGAGTGTTCTCCTTTTGTTCTCCTCTGTGTGATTCCAAGACCGCAAGGTCAGTTCTAAAATAAACATCTCACAGGCCCTGGCAAATATGACAGGAGCTTCAGCTGATATCATCCTTACATCTTCATCTGCCTTCATAATCTTCTTAATCCTAGCCAAGGGCAGGCTATGGTTCTTAAAATCAGTAGTCTGCTCAATTTCTTGATACTGATTTGTCCAGAAAGTTTGAAGTTGTTGCTGCAACTGTTGCTGCTGTTGCTGGTGGATGTGTTGGTAAGCAAGCTGGTGTTGAGCAAGCTGAGCTGAAGAAGCAGCGAGAACTGCTGGCTGAGTAGGAGATTGAAGTGATCCAGCTGCAGAAGGTCCCATCATCTGGTTAGGTTGATATGAAGTTATGCCATAAGGAATCGGAGCTGTACTTCCAACCATGCCTACTGCTGGAGGCTGACCATGGCCTTGCTGGTCCATTGCACCAGTGCTGGCTGGCTTAGAAAGAAATTCTTTATGCTACAACTTCTAGTGTAAACAAACAACCAAACACAAAAGAACCGTTAAGGTGCTTTGTAAATAGTATGCAAGAGATCAAAATATCGACTTTCAAAGACAGATAAAAGGAGCTAGCTTCTTCTGTTTTTTTTTTTAAAAAAAAACTTTAATGTGTTAGCTACTACCTTCTAATAGGCTAAATCAATATAAACCCAAAGAACTTCGATTCACTCATTAGATATGTCCTAAACAATTAACATAGAAGACATCTTCAAGACTGCTAAAAAGTACTTTTGTATCAAAAACAAAAACAGTGAGCCTTAATCGCTTCCTTTGAACTAGGTTGTCCACAAGGGAATCCAGGACATCCGTTTTACTAAAACAATTCCACCCCTCAAGCCCCGGTAACTCATCCCAAGTTCCTTCAACCTTATTGGAATTACCACAATAACTGAGTCCATATTCTCAATCACATGAACAGCCACCTAGGAACATTGATATCACCACAATAGAACATCGTATAAGCAGAGGTCACCTAAACACAGATTTTATGATAATTGTGTTTTTAATGGGCGAAACAAAGCCAAAATTAGTTGAAAAAATAGATTAAATACAAGAAGTTCTTCTAGATATTTGCCCAGCAACCTTCCGAATGTTACTAACAATATGCAGAAAATGTTACCAGCAATGTTTATCAAAGCATAAAGTAGAAGTAATACCAGACATCTACAACTTGATATTCCATTCAACTCATCTTTGCCTCATCACGGGCAATTGATGGTAGTAACACCAGTAAAATGGAAGTTTTCGCTAACGTACTGTAAGATACAAAATTGCCATAAAAGACAAGATTCCAGCCCCAATCCTAACTGCCCCTCTCAAACATTAATACCACTCAGAACCATTAAACCTCATGTCGACCAGCAAATTAATTACGAATTGCAATTTATCTAATCATTCAATCGAACTCTAGGGTTTAAGAATCGTGCTGAGTTAACTCAGTGAGTAAAAAAAACCATAAACACATAGCACAAACACTCTTTGATACTCTTAATAATCATATCAAGGATCAATATCAGTTGCATGCGTTCTCAAAACCCTAAAATAACAGAAATAAACATCATTTAAAAAAAAATCAAAACATTAACCAAACACATGATTGTTTTTTGCGGCGTAAAAAAGAAATTAAAACTTCAATCATTACCTGTCCTCTCTGCTTCGTTGAACTTGTGATCTTCTTTCACCTTAAAGAAGGAAAAGGAAGACAAACAACTGACTGTTAGGTCGCGGTTTTTAAGGATAAGAAGAGAAAGATAAAAAAGAAAAACAGGGGTTTAACATTAAATCTAAGAACTGATTACTTACTTTAAAATCGAACTTGTGTTTGTTTTCAGTAGTAATAAGAATAAATAAAGAGAAGAAGAGATCCAAGTGTGTTTACGAATTTTGATTTTTTTTTCGTTACTAATTTATTTCTCTCGTCCAAGTCCAAGTCCGCTATAAAAAGAAATAAAGAAGAAGCGCCAGTTTGGTTCCTCCAGTCGTCTGCAACTCCTCCTACTACTAGTAGTTATTTTACTTTGTTTTTGTGTTTGACCCTTTATTCTTTTAAAATCTTATTCAATTTACTTACAATTTTTTTGTGATGACATATTTTATTTGCTTACATTTTTTAGTTCTCCCAAAAAAAAAAAAAACAAAAACAAAAATGGCTTAATATAAAATTTAGTCCTTGTATTTAACCGCATTTCTACTTTAGTCAATGTAAAAAAACTAAGAGAATATATATCTTTGAAACTTTCAACTTTTATTGTTGATTATGTTTTTTTTTTCTTTTTATTGAAATATAACTTTTAGCAAATATATGTTACAGAACCATTTAATAATAATGTTATGTGTGAATGAGATGGAAGAGTTTAAAACAAAATAGATTTATAATTTAAACATGTAAACAATTAATTATTTTTACAACTCTAAATCGATATGTTTATTGGTTTTTTTTTTTTAGAAATTTAAACTAGATAAAGTTAAAATACAAACGAAGAGAACCAACTAACTAAATAAAAAAAATAAAATAAAACTATAATCAAATTTAATCAACCCAACAATTCGAAATTTAGTTTAAAATTGTATAGGATAGAGAGAAGTTAAAGATAATAAAATGATAATCTCACAAAAATCCTACTAATTAAGGTTAATTTGACAAAGTTAATAATAGATTATTCATTTTACTTGATCTATTTAGGATAGCCGATTTGAATTTCCATTAATTAAAGTATCATAATAGTTATATTTTTTCAACATGAACTAAATTGAAACTGATAACAAAATAAAGAGAGTAGATTGCATATCATGTTGACTATTTAACTGAAGTGATTAGGAATCTAACAACTCAAAATGCTTTATCTTTTGGCATTTAGGGATATATATAAAAAAATTCAAAGGGCATTTATGCGGTTGACTTGTTAGAATTGGAATGGGACCACAACATACAAGGACAAGATGGTTTAGTTACTTTAGCATCCACTAGCTATAAAAAAAATATTACTCCTTCTAAGTGTGAAGGAAAGAGAAAGGGATCGTGAATACTAAAAATAGAACACATCACCTCCAAAATTTTTTAAAAAATTGTTTATTAAGGAAAAATAGAATAGTGAGAAAATAATAATAATTTTAATCCCATTTTATAAATATATGATAAAAAAATAAAAATAGAAATAAAAAAATTAAAACAAAATAAAAATTAAATAGAGTTTTATTCTCATCGAGGAGGTAGGAATAAAAACAAAAAATAATAATTAGATTTTTTTTCAAAATAATAATTTATTATCTTATTTATTATACATCAATTATTTTTATTAATTCTGTCACATCATCTTTATCATTAGCAGTCGCCTTTCAATGTAGTGATAAAAAAAATTCAAAACTGTTACTTTTATTATTATTCATTTACCATCACATTATCTTTATTATACTACTATTATCATTATCTTCTTTTACCATCATCTCTTTTAGCAGTGACATCAATTTTTTTAAAATATATTATTTTTATTAAAATATAACTATCACCATCATCTTCTCCTTCTTTTACTTTTTCACCATTATCGTAATTATTTTATTATTTTTACTACTATTATAATTAATAAAATTATTTTTTAATTATTATTTTTATTTATCTTAAGAATTAAATATTAAAAGTTTTAAAATTATTTTAATTTTTTATTATTATTTTAAACATAGTATGGAAATAATAGTGTAGTTTTGATTCTCTAATTTTTATTTTTATTTTTATTTTTCACTATGTATCTTCCATTTCTAATTAAAAAAAAAACACCTCGGTTTTTCTACCTACTTTAGGGCTTGGTTGTACATAATGAAGCAAAAGCCCAAAAATACCATTACTAGTCTAGTTCTTAGAAACAATTTATTTATGAGTAAATTATAAATTACTCCTCTAATTTTAAAAAATTAATTAATTAATCTTTCTAGTTTCAAAAAATTATTATTTGATTATTTAATTTTCTTTATATTTTTAATTTTTCTAATTTAATCTTTTGGTTATTTTTCAATTTATTTTATTTTAAAAAAAATAAAATAAAATGTAACAAATGTTAAAGAATTAATGAGAAAATGATATTTTAAAAAAATTAAAGTAATATTAAATTAAATGTGATTAACACTAGTCAAAAAATTAAATAATTAATTTTTGAAATAAAGAAGACCGATTAATTCATTTTTTAAAGAGACTAATTTATAATTTATTTATTTATTTATTTGCTTAGCGTCATATAATTTGTTCGTTAAAAATTAAAAACTAGAATACTTCATGAGTATCCATTACTCTTGCGTATTTTATACATTTAAACTAAATCATTTATTATTAATTGATAACTACATTAAAATTAATATGGCTTATTTTTTAGTATATTATACTAAAAAATTTGAAGAAAAATAAAAGCGAAGCAATGTTTATGCCAGAAAAAAAAACCTTAGTAAGTATTTAAATCCCGACATACATTTCATTTCCTATGGATAAGGTCGCCTTTGTAATAACCGGCACTCGCTAAAACTAAAATTAAATAAAAATTAAATATTTAAAAATATATGAGATATATTTTGAAGATATAAAGTAGTTCATAAAGATTAGAGAAGATATTCAAAGTAGACAAAATAGTCATTTTATGCCCAATGAATATTTTATTGATTTTACGGTGCCTTAATAGTAGTTTTTGCATGAAATAATTAATTAAAGCATGTTTTTTTAAGCATGAAAAATAGTTTGAGTGCTTAGAATAATTTTTAGATGGGTGTTGAATTATTTTATGTACTTGGGTGAATTTTATTATGTAATATGAATATTTTATTTGAAATTTGACGTGTTAGAATAGTATTTTTCGAGGAAAAGAATTTAATTAGGCACCTTAAGAGTATGAGGAAATTTTTTTAAGAGCATAGAATATTCACATGGGAGGTGTGAGAGTTCCTAGAAAATTTAAATTATTAAGTATAGGGATATTTTTAATAAAAAACGGTGTGAATTTCACACTAAATAATTAATTTAGAGGCTCAAATGAGGTCCAAAATAATGAAAAAATTTTAAAAAAATCCCTTAATAAATATTTGAATTGATTACAAAAATAAATTGGATTTTTAAGAGTATAGTATGGAATTTTAAAAGTATGGACTAGATTGCATAAAATTAGGGACTCAATTGCATAAAATTAAAATTTTAATAATCCAAATTAAATAATTTAATAATGTTAAGGGTCAAAAATTAGTAATATAAATGGAAAAGGGAGGATTAGAAGTGAGGTTTTACATAAAAGAGGGATTTAGGAAAGAATAGGCTATGGAAAAATCTAGAAACTTGAAGGACCAAAATTTGTCATTTTCCTTCCAAATTTGGCCGACCTAGACCATTAATTAACTCTGACTTCCAGTAAAAATTATGGCCAAAAATAAGCAAGGTGGAAGGGTTAAATAAAAAGATGAATAAATGGCTAAAAATTAGGACAAATGCAAATGAATGATTGGAAATTGAATTAAGGGCTGAGATTTTCCCACATTAAGGGTGGAGATGAGGTCAATGATTTCACAAAATTTCATACAAATAGGGGTGCTGGAGAAATAAAAAGGGGAGAAAAAATTGAAAAACACAAAGGAAACTCTTAAAAAATTTCCACTAAAAAATTACCCAAAATAATTCTAACCAATTTTAGACCCTCTAAATCGAGTGGATTAAGCTTCAATTTCTAGTTGGGAGCTGAATACCTTCAAGAAGAAAAGTAAAAGAGCTAATTCAAGTTTAGGGGGAAAAAGAGGAGGAAGAGGATTTTCAAGCAACCTACCTTTTTAAGGTTAATTTGGAGCTTAACCATGTAAGTTAACCTCACCTACACCACAAGCATGCTTAATTTCAAGTCAATTTCATGTTTAATTGCTTGATTTGATTTAATTGCTCAATTGAGAAAAATTAAGGTTATGGTTTTTGATGAACCCAATTTAGGGGTTTTGAATTTTTTCATTTAATTGGTGTTTTGGCACTTGATAATGACTTATTTGAGTATGAATTAATGTTTAGGAAGGAAAAATTATACTTTAATTGAAGAAAAATTCATAAATTTTTGGGATTATATCCGACCTAAACTAAGCAAATTAGGGTTTGAGTTCAAAGCAATTTGATTCTAGTTTGATGGGTCATTCACACTTCAATAATCATGTTTTGATGAGTAGAAATGAAAATTT